TTTTGATCACTATAGATTTATAGTATAATCTGAAGTCTGGTAGCATGATTCCACCTGATTTGCTTTTATTTCTGAGTAATGTCTTGGCTATGCAAGGTTTTTTCTGATTCCATATAAAATGAAGTACTAGTTTTTCCACATCTTTAAAGTATGACAGAGGTGCTTTAATAGGAATTGCATTAAATCTGTAAATTGTTTTAAGTAGTATGGACATTTTAACTTAAGGCAAGAAATGAAAAATTTTAGAAGAAAAGATTGGGAAAACATCCTTTAAATTTCAATGCATTTGAAATTTTATATTTAAATTAGGTTTCTTATCAGTGAAATAGAGTGGGATTTTCATTGTTTAGCAATTTCTGCCTTTAACGTGGAGGTTTATGTATTTAGGGTGATAACTCAGATACATGGATGTGATGACCTGGAACCCTGCCTTCTATCATAGGGATAAGAGTCATACCTTCAGTGTAGAGAAAAAACTCGAAGCCATTACAAGAAAAAAAAAAAAGGTCGCTTACTGCTATGCCAATGATATAAGACTGCCTTTCAAGGTTTTGATTAAAATATAAAGTATTTACAAATTTTCTTTTTTGCTACATTATTTTATAAAATTAGTTTTGTTCTAAACACTCTTAACCTCTTCAGAAACATCATTGGAATAATTATGGTACACTCAATAAATACCAACCAAAAAACCAAAATGTATAGCATATAATCTTCACTATATTTCTAAGGTAGAATACCCTAAAAATGTACATAAAACTTTTTATACATTTTCTGTTCTAGCATGTCACTGTTATACTAAATGCATTTTGTCTGTCTCTGACTACAATTTATATTATACAAATGGTTTTTAGTAGTGGCACCGAACATAGAAATAGGTCTTAATGTTATTTCATTGTCAATATGCACTTCTCTGATTTTAAATTAATATATTTTTGAGTTCAAATTATTATTTAATATATTTGCTACAAATTTAAGGAAGTCATATTTTTAAAACAAGCATGTCAAAAGAAACATTATTTAAGCATTTAGTAAATCGATATAAATGTGAACGAAATTAATTTTAGTAATTCTCACCAAAATATTTCTTTAATTTGCATTAAACATCATTTAAAATAAATGTTAAAATAATAATTTTATAATAAAATTATTTCCATGTGTGATTTGAACATATGAACCCATTGCAGTTTAAATATCTTAACGAAATACATAACACGTGAAGGATGAGGTTTGCAGTACAAAGTTGTGTACCGGCTTTTCCTGTCATTAATATCATGTGACTCCATCAATAGAGCTACAAATAATATATTTTATGGACTAAATACTTACAATAAAAAGAAAATAATTCAGATGGCTCCCGTAGCTCAGTGGTTACGGCACCGGCCACATACCCCGGGTTGTGGGTTCGAACCCGGCCCAGGCCAGCTAAACAACAATGATAACAATGACAACTGCAGCAAAAAAAAAAAATAAAGCAGGGCATTGTGTAGTCCCAGCTACCTGGGACGCTGATGCAAGAGAATTGCTTAAGTCCAAGAGTTGGAGGTTGCTGTGAGCTGTGATGGCACAGCACACTACCAAGGGTGATGTAATGAGACTCTGTCTAAATAAATAAATAAATATAAAATAATTCAATAAGGCTATATACTTTTATGCAGAAATATATTAATCATACTGATCTTATCCTTTTAGCACAACGCTGATCTTTGATTAAAAAAACACTCCCTGTGTTTGCACTAAGATTATTAAAAGTTTCTTTATTCTGCCATGCCTATTTTTATACTACATTTCTTTTTATCTGCACAATTATATTTCTAACATTCTTTCTTACACATGTAAATTAAATATCTTTGCTATGTCCCACAGAAACCTCAAGGTTTTTTCACCTCTTTTTCTTTGCAATGATGCTTGCTTACTGGTAGACAGATAGTTGCAAACTTCTCTATTTTAATTCTGACAAAGTATAAATCTTTCTGGGAGCATTTGCTTGAAGAGAGAATGAAAAATCCCCTGATCCTAGAATACGCTCCATGGTAAGATTCCTGTTGTTTTTCTCTTTGATGACCTTTTATAGTTGATCACATCTTTCAAGTTACCTCTTCTTTGAAGGTTTGCTTTTCTGAAAATATTCTCTACTTTCTAAAACATAATTTATTACTGTGTACCTCAGGTGAAGTGGAAATTTGTAACTCTAACTATAGTGGAAACTGCTGACTTTGCACTCCCTTTTAACAGAAGCTTCAGAGGTTCATTTTTTTGCCTTGACTGTCTATAACATTTTTACAAGAAAATTCAAACTTGTGCCCAATTATTTTTAAACAGACTGTGTTTTATTTGTTCTTGAATGTCTCAAACGTTTACTTAAAATACAACAAGGAAAATCATCTCCCTTTATTTCTCCTCATATCTTAACTACAATATGAAATCGCTGCCTTAGCCTTTTTGAAACCCATACATACTGATCACACTGTAATATAAAACACTACCACAGTTCAATTGATAATGTATTATTATAATTGGGTCTAGTCAATCATATTTCCCCATAGTATTTACTGCGAAGCCCATTATCTCTGGCACTGAGGTGGATCCAGCTTTGTCCTCTGATCACTCGATCAGTTCCTTTTTCAATACCATTATAAGAATAATCTCTACTGTCACAACTTTAATAGATATAGAATTCTTGCTTGTAAGCATCTGGTATGATTCTTTGGTGATAGATTGTATATTTTAAACACTATATCATCAATTTCTTTTCTTCTACCTTCATGAATGTTTGTTGAAGACTGATTATTTAATAAGCTGCAAGTCACAATTATTCTTTGTAACTTCTTTATATATTTCTTTTCTCACTAGCATGGCACCAAGGAGAGTAGCAATAATGGTATTAATCAATGAATCTTTTAAATTCCAAACACATATGTTGAGAACTGTGTGTGTTACTCATTGCTTTAACAAAACTGACATCCTTTGGGGAGGGCAGTCTTCTAGGAGAGACCAGGAAACCTTCCAGACAAATTCTAAAAGGGCCGTAACCCTACAAAACTGATATTCTGAGTTTTGCATTGAATATCTCAAATCTCTTTACAGGCATCAGTTTTGGAGGCATGAAATATTTATATTTTCTTTGAAATTCTGAAAATTTGATTTCTCTACATAGGATTTTTTCTATAACTATTGCAAATGCTACCTTTGTCCTCTGATCACTCGATCAGTTCCTTTTTCAATACCATTATAAGAATAATCTCTACTGTCACAAGTTTAATAGATATAGAATTCTTGCTTGTAAGCATCTGGTATGATTCTTTGGTGATAGATTGTATATTTTAAACATACATTGTTTAAACATACATTGTTTTGCATTGAATATCTCAAATCTCTTCACAGGCATCAGTTTTGGAGGCATGAAATATTTATATTTTCTTTGAAATTCTGAAAATTTGATTTCTCTACATAGAATTTTTTCTATAACTATTGCAAATGCTACCTTTTCACAATGCTTTTAACTTTTGCTTTCCTCTGCATTTCAGTGGCAATAACTTCTTGTTATGGATTTTATCAATGGGCCGGGTACAGTGGCTCACGCCTGTAATCCTAGCATATAGGAGGCCGAGGTAGATGGATTGCCTGAGCTCAGGAGTTTGAGACCAGCCTGAGCAAGAGCAAGACCCTGACTGTAAAAATAGCCAGGCATTGTGGTGGGTGCCTGTAGACCCAGCTACTCAGGAGGCTGAGGTAAGAGAACCATTTGAGCCCAAGAGTTTGAGATTGCTATGAACTGTGATGCCATGACACTCTACCCAGGGCAACAAAGTGAGACTGTGCCTCCAAAAAAAAAAAAAAAGAAAAAAAAGAAAGAAAGAAAGAAGGAAGGAAGGAAG